ACAGAGTCCCAGCCATTAGGGCATGAAAAGACTTCCAGGTGAATTCTTAAGACTCCTTCCCAACCCTTACAGTTCCCAGAAACCCCCATCCATCAGCACCAGGAGTTGTCGTTGTTCAAGAGAAATGAAGAAGTGGGGAAAGGGGGCACGCTTTGAAAGCCTCGGTTCTTCATCTCCAGAGATGGAACCAATGATTCCACCAGGCTGCGCTCCAAAAAAGTAATTTTTTACCAAATTCTTTCAGGCTAACCAGGTAAAAAACGGCCAACCTTCCTTTTAAGCACCTTCCTGTTTCTAATTAAGACCGCCTTCCTTCCTGCTAACTAGAACAATGAAGACACATTTGGACCTACCTGTGATGTTCATTCAGAAAAAAAAGCACCAATGATTTCCGAGGGATTTCCGAAGAAAACATGCACAGGATTGCACTTTTATCTAAGAACAGCTGGCAGTCGTTTGTTAGGATCGGATTCCAGCTGTTTTCTCCCCTTTTGCAACAAAGATCTTCACAGGGTTTATGAAAAGGGCTAACGAATTTAACAACGGATGCATGCCATCTTGTAACTTGCCAGGTTTTGCATTTTCTTCCCGGGTGTGAAGACGAAAGTGGTATTGGGTTACGTTAGGTTAGCACAACTGGATATGAGTGTTTTGCAGGCCATTGGATAACCCTAAAGGATGGAGATTTCCAAAAATATGGTTGCACCATGACTTTGGATGAAAAATAAATGCCAGTGTTGCACTTCTTCAAACCCCGCGGGTGGGAGTTTCTCTCTTGCGAAATACTTCCAGCTCATGAAAACTCGGCAACATTTTTGGAATTTGTCTTGAAAATGTGGTCCACTTGTTTTCTTCATTTGTCTTTCAAAAATCGGTGAGGGGAAGAACCCCACTTCCCAGGACTCTTGAACGGCCTTCATGAACAAAGAGGGCCTTCAAAGCAGAAGATCCGAACAACTTTTTAAAAATCACATTTCTTAGCTCAGCCAGCTCCCCAATTCAAGGCGGACTATGTCATCATTCTACAGCTCTTTTCTAATAATGGTCTTTGTCTTTACTTCTTACATTTCAAAGTTTACAATCTGGCCGTCCCAATCATGCGTGCACATAGTGTACACAACCCAGGCCACTGAACAAAGTGGAAAGATGAAAGATTCAGGGTGGGGATGGGGGAAGATTTTTCTCCTTTGCACAACAGATGAGACTGTGGAACTTGCCGCCACAAGATGCAGCGGTAGCTGCAAAATTTGGAGGCCAGAGATGGATCATGGGCTGAAATTGTCTCCCCGCCATCATCCTACAAGCATTGCTATGTTGCATGCACAGCTCCCCTTTCACCATAACTTCTGCAAAGGAGTTTTCACTACCCCATGGCACAAGTGGAAGCCCTTTGCTGGCAGTGGGGAGATTTCTGCTTTCCACATGGCTGAAGACTGAAGGTGTGGAACATCTACAGGGCAGTTACACTCACAACATTGCTCACCGGATGGCTGCCCGGGCAGGTTTTATGTGTCCTTTATGTGTAAAGAGTCATGGCTCCGTTATCACCGATTGCTCTCAGAGGTGACCTCTTCCCAAATATGGGTGGCAGGGAATGTTGTTAGCCGCTACTGGAACAGGGCATTGGACCAGAGAGAACGTGGGTTGGATTCAGCCCAAGCCCCCCATGTTTTCCACCACAGGAAAGGCCCAGAAACTGCTTTTATTTAAAAAAAAATCAATCATGGTCAAGGGGTCTGTGTGCCTCCCCTTGATATGGTTGGACTGCAAGGCCCATCAGCCCTGGGCTCAGCAGTGCAGGATGATGACCACAGTCCTCCCAACTACACATCTTTCTTCTTTTCTTTTTTTTAAATTTATATCCCGCTTATCTAGTCGTGGTGGACTACTCTAGGCGGCCATAGGTTGACCACCCGTTGTGACACAGTGCAGGATGATGACCACAGTCCTCCCAGCCACACATCTGGCAGGTCGTAGGTTGACCACCCGTTGGGACGTTCAGCACCGCATGTAAGTGTCCCACACGGTGTACATGATGGGCTGTTTCTGCAGTTCATGTCCGAACTGACTCACAGCCACCCTAATAAGGTTTTTGGGGAGATATTTAAGGAGCGGCCATCCCGGTTCTATGGCCGACTGGAGATTCCGACCCAGGCAAAGTCCTTGCCTGTCACTGCATCCGTTACAAGTCTCTGTGACATTTCTCTGCACGGCAGCTGGATCAAGGGTGTCTCCTCCAGATGTTGCCCCCAATGCATCGGCTCACCCAGATGTTCCATTGTGCTTATTTTCCCCCAGATGTTGCCCTGGGTGCATGGTCTTCTTTTACAACTCTCTGTGACATTTCTCTGCACGGCAGCTGGATCAAGGGTGTCTCCTCCAGATGTTGCCCCGGGGTGCATAGGCTCACCCAGATGTTCACTTGCAATCATTTCCAC